ATTTTTTTTAATTTTCTTATTTTTTTTTAGTTGTAGTTGGACACAATACCTTTGTTTTATTTACTTATTTTTATGTGGTTCTGAGGAGCAAACCGAGGGCCTTGCACATGCTAAGCGAGCACTTTATGGCTGAGCCACAGTACTTCAGCCCCAGTACTTCATTTCTTTTCATGGTCAAATAGTATTTTATGTATGGATATACTACATTTTGTTCATTCATTTGTCAGTGCGATGGACATTTGAGTTGTTCCTGCACTTTGACTGTTATGAAAAATGCAGTTATAAGCTTCTGATTATGAAACTGTTGTGGAAACCTGTGCATTTATTTCTTGGACACATGACTGGGAGTGGGATCTGTGGGCCATATGGTGAGTCTTTTAACCAAGCAATTGTAAGAGACAAGCCAGGCACAGTAGTGCATGCCTATAATCCCAGTGGCTGAGGAGGCTGAGGCAAGAGGATGGTGAGGTTGAATCAGCCTTAGCAACTCAGAGAAACTCTGACTCAAAGTTAAATAAAATACAAAGGGTTATGGATATAGCCCAAGTGTGGAGCATCCCTGGGTTCAATCCCCAGTACCAAAAAAAAAAAAAGTTTTTGAGGCAAGGAGTCCAGAACCAGTGAGGAGAGGTGACAGGCACCGTATTTCACAGTCAGAAAGTGAGACAAAGAAGCAAGACAGGACCCCACACCTCTGATCCCAAAACAGGACTCTTTATTCCATGTTCTAGTGATTCCATGTAGCGTCAGGTTGTGCAGCAGGCTGTCAGTGCCATGCCAGCCCCAACAGCCTCGCAGACAGGCAACAGGAAGGAAGGAAGAAACCCAAAATTATTCAGCACCAGCTGCCTCCAGGATTTAGGCTGGACCTTGGTGTTCCCGGTCTGTGGTGCGCTTACCATAACCCTGGTAAAGGATGTTCAGTGTTCACTCTGCAAAGTCAGTTGGACACTGAGAGGAAACCCACGCGCCCAAAGTCGCACAGCAAATGAATCCACAGATCTGGACCTAGGTTTGCCATCTTTGAAAACTTACGGTCATTCCATTGAACCATGCTTTCCTCTTCTCATATTTAGTGACCTCAAGGTCCAGTAAACAAATCTTTATTGCAAAAATCCATTCACTCAGTAACACACACTGGGGCATCTATATGCCTTCTCTGTGGACGCAGAAATGAAATCATTCTGGCTCTCAAGAATAGGAAAGCAGAGAACAATTCTCATTTGACAAAGAGATTCTCAATGAGGAACCACTTAACACCACAGAATGGCAAACATTTAAAAGTTTGTTCAACTAGTCGTTGGTATGGATGTCCACAAAGGGGGGGCCTCCAGGCATTGCCAGTGAGAATGTAAATTGGTAGAAATAATTCTAGCTTAATCCTAGCTAACACATGGCACCTACTTTGTATTATACACTATGCCAAACATGTTAAAGATTTCTTCATCATTGTAGCAACCATGTAATGTATAACCTTATCTTTGTAAATTAGGAAACTGAGAGAAAGGGCTACTTATCTATTAGACTCAACAGGTACACAAAGTGCCTAGAGCCTATCATACTCTCTTAGGGACTCAAAACATGTTTTTTTTTTGTTTGTTTGTTTGGTTGGTTTGGTTTTGGTTTTGGTACCAGGAATCGAACTCAGGGGCATCTGACCACTGAGCCACATCCCCAGCCCTATTTGGTATTTTATTTAGAGACAGGGTCTCACTGAATTGCTTAGTGCCTCCCTTCTGCTGAGGCTGGCTTTGAACTCAAGGTCCTCCTGCCTAGCCTTCCAAGCCACTAGAATTGCAAGTATGCAACACTGCACCAGGCTCACAAACATGGTTTAATTTATTTTTATGTTACAAGAAAATCAGGCATGATGGTGCACATCTGTAGTTCCTGCTACTTGGGAGACTGAGGTCAGGGATCTCTTGAACCCAGAAGTTTGAGACAGGACCAGGGAATATATTGATACCCCATTTCAAAAGCACTCAAAAGAAAAACATAATCCTTTCTCAGTTATGTTCATCTGCATACCAATGTAGTCATGAAATTAAATTTGTAATGTATTTTAGGATCAAAAGGACCAAAAAGACAGTTTCCAGGGCCCATGAAAGTCATAATGCAACCATGGTATTATTAAATGTCTTACCTAAGATTTCCCGACACTGAGTCATGGACTCATTATATCTCCACCAGTGATTCAAATTTCTCGATCCAGCAATTCAGCTCCCAGGTGTATAATCTGTATCTTGCAAATTTGGTTGTTGTTGTTTGTGGCACTGGTGATAGAACACAGGGTCTGTGCATGCTAGGCATGCACTTTACCACTGAGCTACAACTGCAATCCCCAGGAGTATTATTAGAGAAAACTCCCTTTGGGTTCAAGAAGACATGAGCAACAACAGTGTGGCAGTGTTGTTTGTAATAATAAAAATTTGGACCAACCCAATGTCCACCAACAGGGACTAGATGAAGGTAATGTAGATGATGTAGGTAAACTAGATGAAGATAATATAACTGTCAGTGGGTGTTGCCAATGAGCAATTAAACTGCACGTATTAATGTAGACACGAAAACAATGCCAAGGCTGGAGGAGTTAGAGTTTGCACTGAAGTTACATGATTTATTATAAAATTTTAAAACATGTAGAACAATTTCATATCTTTGCATACCTGTAGCAAAAATTTTAAAAATACATGCATGAACCTGGTGTGGTGGCACCCACCTGTCATCTCAGCAGCATGGGAGGCTGAGACAGGAGGATCACAAGTTCAAGACCAGCCTCAGCAATTTAGTGAGGCCCTAAGCAACTTAGTGAGACTGTCTCAAAATTACAACAACAAAAAAACCCAACCATGCATGAGAATGATGAACAGTAGATGCAAAATCTAATAACCCCAGGCAAGGCAAGAGAAAGAGAATGAATGTTGAGGTACACAGAGACCTCAGGCTGTATGTGTTTTGTATATTTTAAATGTTGTTTTGTTGAGTATGAAGAATTATATTATTCTGTATTCTTTCCTATGCAGAAGTAGTTCATAACAAAATAAATACAAAAGACTTTATGTATCAGTTGAGATAGGTTATGCTGCAGCAATAAATAAGCCCAAAGATCAAAGAAATTAATAAAAGTTTATTTTAAAGGTTACCTATCTGGGACTGTGGTAGAATGTGTGCTTATCATCTTGAGGACCTGGATCAAGGCAGAGTTCGCTACAGGACGAGATTAAAATTCAGTGGCTTAACACAACACATGCTTGCTGTAAACATTATATATCCAAGGCACCAGCTTTGTGTTCATTAGTCACTCTGGAGCCCGGGCTGATGCAAACTTGACTTTGTCCAACAATCTCTGCCCAAACCAGTAAGAATGGAAGACTGTGGGTCGCTCTATGGTTCTTCATGTGTACTGAAGGGGTCACGCAACACTTTCACCTACAAGTCGACGACTACATTTAACTTCAAAGAAAAATGTAACCCTGGGCTGGGGCTAGTGGCAGAGCGCTCGCCTAGCACGCAGGAGGCACTGGGTTCCATCCTTAGCACCACATTAAGGAAATAAATAAAGACATCGTGTCCACCTAAAAAACTTATATATATATATATATATATATATATATATATATATATATATATTTTTTTTTTTTTTTTTTCTTTCTTTTTCTTTTTTAAAAAGCAACCTTATCATGTTCCCCGAAGGAACTGCAAACTTGGGAGCGACGGTCATGTTTTGGGTCTCCTGCCCTGCCAAGGAAACACTTGAGCGTCTCACGGTTCTTCTACGTCTCTTTTCTCCCAGGGCTGCAGTCCCGTCCAGGAGAAAGGGGAGTGTCCAGAGAAGTGCAGTGACGAACTCGGACGGCAGCCAGGAGGCTGGAGGACCGCAGGCGGCGCGAGGAGCCCTGTCCTTGGTGCTGCCGTCGCCCTGCCCCCGAGCGCGGCTCCCACACAGGCCGGCTTCCTCTCGGCACCGGCGAGGCTGCGGTTCACCGAGACTCGTTCTCGACACCGACTTTGAGAACGCCTTCGATTCACAAACTCCGCACCCGGCGTCCTCACGCCCCGCAGAGAGGGCGACCGCGACAACGACACGAGTTCTTCACCTGCGAGGCTCCCGAGCAAGCCCGGCTCGGCCAGCGCCGTGGAAAGGCCCGTCTGGACGCCTCGCCTGCGCTAGCAAGGACCCCGGCCGCCCTCCGCGCCACCCGGCCGCCCTCCGCGCCACGCCGCCTCTCTCCACCCAGCCGCCTGTCTCCGCGCCGGCCCCGAACCGCAGGCGAAGAGCGGCCCGAGCCCCGCCCCAGCCACGCCCCTCTCCACCGTGCAGTGCGCCGGCGCAGAACCTCTGACGCCGGCCCAAGCCCCACCCCCTTGGAGAGCGACCATTGGCCTCGGGGACGGGGCTTGGGCACAAGATGGCCGCTGCGCGCCCGGAGCACCCGAGTCCGAGCTCACCGATCCCAGAGTCGCGATCCCTGGAGCCGCCGGACCTGGTGGGCTCGATGAATGGGCCTGGGCGGGGTGCCTCGAGGCGGGGGAGGTCGCAGGGCAGGGGGCGGGGCCTACGAAGGTTGGCGGGGGTGGAATCAGGGCCTGGGGGCGGGGCTTTTGGGGTTTCGCTGGGGCGGGGCCTAGGGAGGCGCCTATGGGATTCGAGGGAGTGGCCTAGAGGAGGCGGGGCCTGGCGACAGGGGTTGTCTGTGGTGCAGGATTGGGTCATGGTGAGGAATCCCAGGGATTCGTTTGCATAATTAGGGTGGTACCTTCATAGGGGCGGGGTCTTCGGGAAATTCTAGGGCTAGTCAACTTGGCTGGAAGGTTGAAAAGGTGACCCTGAAAGAGGGGTAATGACCAGGTCACTATGTAGGGGTGAAAGGATGATTCTGCAAGTGATGCCTCTCAATGCCCATGGGAAGATTTGTGGGGAGAAATGGGTGTCCCAGATGACTTTGGAACCTCCTCCTTGTTCTCCTCATTCAGGACTGGAGAGTAACTGGGGACATTCATTAATTCAACAAACATTTACTGAGCTGCTTGTTCAGGGTCTATAACAGAGGTGACCAAGACAGACAAGGATTGTGTTCTCTTGTAGCTTGCCATCCTATGAGAGGAGAGAGACTATAAATGAGATTTTTTTTTTTTTGGTGATACATTCTATAAAGAAAATAAAAAGTGAGCTGATAGAGTGGGAGTTGGGGAGCTAAATTTAGATGTCAGAAGTCAGCTGGGTGCCGGCTTCTGTTTACATTGGGGTCAGAGAGATAAGCAGGAGTCAGATCAGGGTGGCTACTATAGCGAGGATTGGGGGTTTTAATTGCATTTGGAGCCATGGGAGGGTTTTGAGTGGAAAGTGGCTTTATCTGATTTACATTTTCAAGAGCCCATTCAGGCTGCTCAAGAGAGGTGGATTATAAGGGGAAGAAGTGGGAACAGATTCCCTCTAGGAGGCTCTTTCAGCTATGGAAGTAGGACAGGGGTTTGAGCTTGGGTGGAGGAGAGGTGGCTGGGTCCTTGATATATTTTAGGCAAGAGGGAAGAGCTGAGGGCATGGGGTGGCATCCTGGGACTTGGTAATGACCTAGAAGGAGAGGGAGCAGTGGCCTGCAGTGAAGCAGACATTTAAGTAAGTGGGGGCTTCTGGGAGGTCTCCAGGCAGGGTCCACAGGCTCCTTGTTCTTCTCCCCCTACCAGGTCCTGGCACCTGATGATGGCCGCCCCGCCACACCCCCAAGTGACCTCATCGAGATCCAGGTGGTGAAGGTCACAGATACCTCCCTGGTACCAGAGCCACCAGAGCCAGGTTCTTTCCACTGTGCCTTGTGTCCAGCTGCCTTCCGACTGGTCTCCGAGCTGCTGTTCCATGAACATGGCCACCTGGCAGGCGCGGATGGGGGCGGGCAGGGTGGGGACCCAAGCCGGTGTCACGTGTGTGGTCACAGTTGCCCAGGTCCCGCCAGCCTCCGTGCTCACTACAGCTTACACACGGGGGAGCGGCCCTACCGCTGCCCGCTGTGCCCGCGGGCCTTCAAGGCCTTAGCGCCACTGCTCCGGCACCAGCACCGACATGGGCTGGAGCCAGGCACCTCCCGCAGGCCTCCGCAAGCCGCAGCAGCTGGAGAGCCAAGCCCAGGGGTGCCGCAGGAGAGGTCAGAGGTGGTGATGGCCGCTGCGGCTGCTGGCGCGGCGGTGGGGAAGCCCTTCGCTTGCAGGTTCTGTGCCAAACCGTTCCGCCGCTCCTCAGACATGCGAGACCACGAGAGGGTGCACACCGGCGAGCGCCCGTATCATTGCGGCATCTGCGGCAAGGGTTTCACGCAGTCCTCGGTGCTGAGCGGCCACGCCCGCATCCACACTGGCGAGCGCCCTTTCCGCTGCACCCTCTGCGATCGCACTTTCAACAACTCCTCCAACTTCCGCAAGCACCAGCGCACCCACTTCCATGGGCCGGGGCCTGGGTTGGGAGACTCTGGGAGCCAGTTGGGCTCACTGGTGGCTGAAGGGTCAGGGAGTGGGTGCGGGACAGATAGCACTCTGGAAGAGGGGCATGGGGAAATGGTGAAGGTGAAGGTGGAAGTTGACCAGTAGGCTGGGAGAGCAGGACTGGGGGTGATAATTCTGGAAGTAGAAGGCAGATTGCAGGGGAGGGTGTGGGCAGAAAGAGACAGGGGCAGAGCAGGGAGGTAGTGAGCTGCTGGTGTTGGAGCAGAAGGAGAGTACCAAGGTTGTGGACTCCCAGAGATCCACACTGCACCTAGGTGAGAGGCCACAGGAGGGGTAGTGCAGCCCTGTGTGTGCCCAGGTGAACATGATACCGTGGGAAGCATTTCACTGCCCTGTTTGCATTCTTGTTAGGTTGTCCTTGGGCAAAACGTAGCCTGTAACAGAACCTGGACTCTAAAAAAGGGGAGCCAGGGTCAAGTGGAAGGTGGGAAAATCTCATCCACCATACTGTTCCTGGTCTAGGCCTTCTGCAGAGTGCTGGACTATTTGGGGCTCCCTAAGGTGGACGGTGGTGGAATCTTTTCCTACCTCACTGTATTGCACTGGACTTGAGTTGCCTACAAACCCCCAGGCAGAAGATGTCCACCACTTACTGGCCCCTTTCTGAAGCTTTAGGCTTAGAGCCTGTGGTCCAACACGTCTGCAAAGAAGCCTCAGGCTTCTCTACTTTCCTCCACTCTGAATTTGAAGCAGTTTATTGCCTAGTCCCAGGCAGTCCCAAGGAAGGACTAGCTAATGGCAGCATGGCCTTCTGGCGGCACTGTGGAATAAGAGGACTTGGAAGCTGGAGGTGGGAAACCTCCAGTCTATTCCTATTAAAGGACTTGATGAAGGGTTTCTCTTTGTCAGTCTTGTATTTGGGTTGTCTTCTTTGAGGAAGTGGGGGAGCAGGGCCATGCTGTGGTCTTCTATAAACATTTAAGTTGCACTGTACCACTTTCCAAGCCTGTGTTCTCACCTTTAGAATATGACTGAATAGGTACTGGCTGTTCAGACCTTTTATTTCTGTGTGGGAGAGGGTTCAGGAAGGCTGGCATAATGTAGGGACCCTGCAGCTGGCACACTTGCCTACTCCCTGCTATGCTCAGGAGGTAATAAACCACTAGTGTCAGTCCCAATCAGCCAGCACAAGACTGCCTGCAGATGAGTTAACAAAACTGACCCATTTCCCCAGGAAAACACTTGTTCTCCCCATCTCAGGAACCTCGACAGGTTCCTGTGGTCTTCCTCCGTCACCTAATCCCTTATCAGTCTCCCCACGTTGCACGTTTAAGTGTCTTTGACATCTGAATACTTCATCATCACTATTCTTGTAGACCAAGACAACAGTGACCTCACATCTGGATAACTGCACAGCAGCCCAGCTGAGGCCCTACCTTCTCCATTCTCCAACACTGGAGACACTTGTATACTTGACACCAATCCACAGCTCCTTGTGACTTTTGAGAAGGGATCACAAATGTAAATACCTACCAGAGCTGCTTGGCCAGATTTAAAGGCAAAAGTATCTGTGAGGTGAAACATGGCAACTGACACTTGGGCTCAGTGTTGGCATTCAGCAAGGAGTGGTGGGATTGAGAGTAAACGGAGCATTTACATTCACACCTCAGGAGAAGGTAATGGCACTCAGTGCCAACAGGGATGCAGATTGGGTTTGATAGATTCTTCAGATTTTCAGAAGTTCCATTAGTTAACATTATGTAAAATCAAAGGATTTTACATAAAATCCTTGGATTCCACAATGTTGCTAACTAAGCCAAGCCCAGGGCCTTGAGCATGCTATCCAAGGGGTCTACCACTGAGCTACATCCCAACCACTCAAAGTTTTTGTTTTTTAATGCACAAACTAAATGGTTTGAATTGCTTCCAGACTGGCTGCTGATAGTTTTCAGCCTTTAGCCTAAAAAACTTCCCAACTGTACAATTTAGAATTCAAGCCCCTTCAGGATCCAGCCACACACCCACTCCAACCTCCAGTTATACTACATTTTAAATTCTCTAGAATGGCTGGATTTAGTTGGATACACCCCATCCTCTTCCTGGGATTATTTGCCCATGTTTTTACCTGGCAAGCTCTTGTTGCTTTATGCCGCTGTTCAGATCTCACCCTCCTTTCGAGGAAGCTTTTCTAACACTTGCCCCAGTCTGGTAAGGTGACTACTCCATGCTCCCTCAGTCTTCAGTGACACTTCCACTTCCAGTTGACCTTGGAGCCCTGGAGCTCTGCTGTAGGCTGTTTCATGGTAGGTCTGCAGCATGAGAACTTGGCACACTGGGTTGCTGCCTTCTTGTGGGTCACACTAGACCTGCCCAGACAGTGTTCCCTGTTTCATCTTCAAGTTTCAGTATTAAAGTACCCTGAGATGAGTCCCAATTCTACCATGAATTTGCCAGGTGTCCTTGGAGCTCTTTTGTTCTCCAGGACCCCATGCTCCTCTTCTGACAAGTGGGATGACTATAAACTTGTACTGCAGGACATATATCACACAGTTCTGTGATGTATGAAAATGAGAGTTGCATAAGTTTTTTTGGTTTGTTTGTTTGTTTTTTGGTACTGGGGGTTGACAAACCCAGAGGTACTTTACCATTGAACTACATCCCCATCCCTTTTTATATTTTGTTGAGACAGGTCTCACTAAGTTGCCCAGGCCAGACTTGAACTTGTCATCCTCCTGCCTCAGACTCCCAAGTTGCTGGAATTACAGGCATGTACCACCATGGATCTCTGAAAGGGCTTTTGAAACCCCAAATCATTATCCTGGAGAGGCAGGTGCTACAAGTGAGCTGTAAATTGAGTCCACACGAGGCTGTGATATGCCTGACAGGAGTTCTCTAGTCTTCTGAAGGGTGAGGGCCATGTCTAACTCACCCAGTGCCCCAGCTTGGGACCTGAAAGACAGGGGTTTCAGGAAATGGTGGCAAGTGAGCAAACACTGAAAGTGCCATGCAGGGCAGTCTGTACCCCCAGCCAGCTCTTGACAGGAGAAACCTACCTGTTTTGCTCACTTTCATTGGCCCAACCAGTGGGCCAATGCTTGGAATGTGGCCAAACCTTAGTGAATACCAGCTGAAACACAGCTTGTGAGGCAGAGGGTGCCTGGGAATCACAATCCCCAAGGAAACAAAAGTTCTCAGCCTTGCATCTCACCAACACTTAACCCCCACTCTCCCTGAGATCTGAAGATAAACTTCATCCACCCTGTTGATAAGATTTATTGTCCTCTGCTCTGTACAAGCTTCGTCTGCCACCCCACCCCCACCCCACCATCCAAGAGCACCCAGACCCCCCTTGTGCCCTCCCAACTCAGCTCATATCTGCTGTCCAGCCAGATTCCAAAGGGGAGGCAGTTCAGATTAATCTCCACCAAAGAGCTCCCAGGGCAGAATGCTGCTGGGGGTGGCTAGTGAGGGTTACAAGAGAGGGTTGGACAGAGGGTTCAGTTCAGTGTCTGACAGAATGAGGGGAGGTCCAGAGATCCAGGATGGGAGTGATTCAGTCTTGATTTGTAGGGCATGTGCCCTGAAGGAGACTCAAAACATATGAAGTTCAGAAGGACAGGTGACAGCAAGGAGGGGGAAGAGTCTGATCAGCAGCCCTAGGAGGGAGGAGTCAAGAAGGGACATCTGATTGGAGTGGCAGATAAAACTCTGGGGTCAGGCATCCTTCCCCAGGGCTCCTGCCCCTGCTCCAGGGCCCCCCAGGCCCTCGGCCTTGTGCACCAGACGGTGTTTCTTCAGGCCATAGGTGTTGGCGAAGCCCTCCCCACAGGAGGAGCAGCGAAAGGGCCTGCCACCCTGGTGGGCCGCCAAGTGCTTACGGAAGTAGCCGGGATCCTTGAAGGCCTTGAGGCAAGCGGGACAGCGTAGCTCGGGCCGCGGGGGCTCATGGGCGCGCTGGTGGCGCAGCACAGAGCTCAAGTAAAAGAAGCCCTTGCCACAGTGCTCACAGCGGTAGGCGCGCTCGCCCAAGTGTAGCCGCTGGTGCTCCAGCAGGTTGGAGCGGTAGCGGAAGGTCTTGCCACAGGCACCGCAGCGCTGGGGCCGAGCCACTGCGTGCAGCCGCCGATGCTCTGCCAGACTAGACGATTGTGCAAAGCGCTTGGCGCACACGCCACATTTGAAAGCCCGCTCACCGGTGTGCACCACGCGATGCTGCCGCAGGTACCATGAGCGCAGGAAACCTCTGCCACACACACCACAGCGATAGGGCCGCTGCTCTGTGTGGCATCGCTGGTGGCGCATCAGCAAAGCTGCCTCCCAGAAGCGCTTCCCACACACCGGACAGCGGAAACCCCGCTTCTGCCGATGGCTGCGGCGGTGCAGGAGCAAGTCATAGGCGCCCGCGAAGCTCTGGCCACAGAGGCCACAGCCCAGGGTCCGCCGCACCAGGTGCACATACTTATGAGTCACTAGGCCCAGGAAATGCTTGAAGCTCTGGCCGCACGTGGCACAGCTAAAGCGTTCAGGACCCGAACTGGCACCTCCACCGGCCCCGGCTACTGCAGCCCCACCAGCGTCCTCGCCCCCAGACACTCCTGCTAGCGCTGCCACAGCCGCCCCTACTTCTCCCGCCAGCCCGTTGTCCAGCACGCTGGCCGCATCAGTGGCGCTGGAGCCATCAGGGGGTTGGGAGCCACCCGGCGTGGGTGCGAGCAGGCGTTCTGGGGCAGCCTGGTGGACCAGCTTGTGCCACATGAGGTTTTCGATGAAGCCAAAGGTCTTGCTGCAGGCATCGCAGCCGTACGGCTTCTCAGACATGTGGGCTTCCTTGTGGCTCATGACGTGGAAGAGGTCTGGGAAGTGTTCTCCGCAGTCTGAGCAGGCGTAGCTTAGGCCGTCCGAGGGCCCCCCAGACGCGGCGGAGGGCCCAGGCCCACAGGCTCCTGTGGCACCCTGGGTGGTGGGGAGGCCCGCGGCCCCGGCCAGGGCACACGGCAGCTGCAGCCGGTGAACCTGGCGGTGACGGGTCAGGCTCTGTGGGTAGCCGAAGACTTTGCCGCAGAGTTCACACTTGTAGGGCCGCTCGCGGGTGTGCACCACGTGATGCTTGCTCAGGTGGAAGGACTCGCGGAACCTCTTCCCGCACACGGGGCACTGGTGGGGCTTCTCTCCAGTGTGAATGCGCTCATGGCGCTTCAGGGTCTCCCGGCGCCCAAAGCCACGCCCGCAGATGCCGCAGCAGAAAGTCTTTCCTGGGACACTGGTGCCAGAGCTTCCAGCCCCGCTGGTCCCTGCCCCACCAAGCAACAGCGGATGGGCACCCAGGAGTGGGACTGGCACGGCGCCATATACCACTGCGGCTGCAGCCGCTGCTGCCTTTTCGCTGTCTGTGGTGGGTGGGTCCGGGGGCAGGAGGTAGGGGCCAGGGGGAAAGGTGGGTGGGGGCTGCGGGACAGAGGCAGCACCGTCCTTGGATGCCTCCGAAGCCGCAGGCTGGGCATGGGCAGCCTTGTGCCGAAGTAGGCTCTGCGGCGCTGAGTAGGACTTGCCACACAGGTCGCAAGGGTACACCGGCCGAGGGCTCCCCGCCCCCGCGTGGGCCGCCTGGTGCTTGAGGAGGTAGGAGGCATCCCGGAAGGCCTTGCCGCAAATGCCGCAGGGGAGGCGCAGGAGGTCTGCGGAGTGTGTCTTCACGTGCCGCTTGAGGCTCTCTCTCCGGTTGAAGCTCTTGCTGCACACGGAGCAGGAGAAGGGCTTCTCGCCCGTATGGATGATCTGGTGCTGGTGAAGGTGGCTGGGCTTCTTGAACACCTTCCAGCAGAGTGGGCAGGCAAATGGGCCCTCACCACCTGTAGTGGACGGAGGGGGCACGCCAACGCCTGCAGGGGCAGTGGGGGCGGTGTTGGCATCCCCAGAGGTGGCAGGCGCGGAAGGTGTGGCTGGGGGGCCAGAGGAAACCGTGGTGGGGACAGCAGCCGCTGCACTGGCTGTGGGGACTGGGAGACCCAGTTGAGGGAGTGGGGGTCCGGGCTGTGGTGGACCCCCGGCAGCTGGTGGCACATCCTTGTGACAGCGGCGGTGGCGTATGAGGCTGGAGACATGGTTGTAGGTGCGGCCACAGACGCCGCATTCGTAAGGCCTCTCCCCGGAGTGGACTAGCATGTGCTGCACCAGGTGCGAGGACTGCTTGAAGGACTTCTGGCACACACCGCAGGGGAAGCGCCTCTCCATCAGGTATTTCAGCCTCCGGAAGTAGCCCTTGTCATCCTTGGTTGGGTCGCAGGCCGCCCCTGCGGCGGGTCCTGGTGGGGTCTGCGAGGGGGCTGGAAGTGGCCCCGGTGCACCTGTTGGAGCACCCAGCCCAGGTGCTACCCCCGGCCCAGAAGCCGGCCCTCCTCGTTTCAGGTTTCCAAACAGGTGCTGGTGTCCCGAGAGGTCAACGATACCCCACTGTGGGGCAGGGAAGGCAGCGTCAAAGAGCGGAGGCGGAGGGGCCCCAAAAGCGGGTGGCAGGGGCGGATCTGGCTTCTTGGCTTGAGAAGAGGACGACGATGAGGAGGAGGACGACGAGGAGGAGGAGGAAGAGGACGAGGAGGAGGAGGAGGAGGAGGAGGAGGAGGAGGAGGAGGAAGGAGCCTCCGCCTTGGGTTTGAAAGTAGATTGGGGTGGGTAGTCATATTGGGGAGGTGGGGGCTGGGGCGGAGGCTGAGGTAGGGGCCCCGGGGCACAGGGCAGGGCTGCCACGGCCTTGGCATGCTCCCCATACAGCTCCATGGGCTCGAAGCGCTGGTGGTTGAGGAATTCCAAGAAGTCAAATGGGTAGCTCTGGAAATGAACCCCGTCCTCGCCCCCGATGCCGCTGCTCCCACCACCCCCGGCACTGCTGCCTGCCGGGTTTGCCTCCATTTCTGGCAGATGGGGAGAAGGGAGACCCTGTAAAGAGGAGGATTGGGCTGAGGAAAGGCAGCAGGCCCCTGGCCAGCAAAGGGAGCTGTGTATCCAGCCTCTTGTCCCCCAACTTTCCCTCTCACTGCACCAGCCCCGGCCCTCCCCCCCCTTTCCCACTTCCCTCCATCTCTCCCCAGCTTTTCCAGGGACCTCACATACCTCCCAGTCCATCTCCAGATCCTCCCCCTCACCACCTGCAAGTCCATTCTCTCCTTCTCAGTCTAGTTCCCCTGGCACTGGGGGAGCCTCTGATCTCAGTTCTAAGACTCTCTGTCACCTCGGGTTCCACTTTCTGTTCTCAGTCCCCTCAGGACTTGCTTGCCTCTGTAAAATGAGGGTAACAGCAGCTCTGTCAGAGTGATTCGGAGAGTGGGCTCCGGAGCGAGAATGCCAAGTTCAAATCTAAGCCCTGCCACTTTCTAACTAAGCGACCACCTCATCTCCAAAGGGGGAAGAAGAGCATATCCCTAGGCCACAGGGCTGTTACGAGGACGCAGTGTTGGCACGTGGAAGCTCTCGAGGTAAAGTGCTGCTGGCATGAATGGAAAGTATCACCACGTGTCGTTACCGCTACTGCTTCTAGGAGTAGAAAAGGGAAGTCAGGAGAAGGCAAGAGAACAGGAAGAGGCGGTCCTGGGGAAGGGGCTCTCCAGGAATTCAAGGTGGGAAGAAGCGTCTGCTTGCAAGGGTGCTGGTGTTTCTGGAGGACAGCCTGATCCAGACAGCACCTCACAGGCCCTGCGACTGGGAAGACATGGGGTCTAATGCCATCTGCTGGGGTCCACACTTTCTCCATGTTTAAAACAGGGCTGGAAGTCCTGAACTGCAGGGGGACTGAAGAGGCTGACACAGCACATAATGGAACACATCTGTCCCCTGAGCTTTGCACACAGCCCTGATGACATCACACACCTGGGGGAGCTCAAGCAAGCACTCCCAGCATCTGCCTAGGAGTACTTAACGTCCCAGACTGCAGCTGTCCTGTCTGAACAGTCGCCCCAGCACTGGCTCCTGCAGTGGCTCTGAGTTCTCAGGACCCAGCCAGCCTTTGAGCCAATAAGAGAGGTGCCCATGGGGTCTGCTACATGCCCATCATCCCTACCCTTGAGGCCTGGCTCAGTGTCCAGCCCACTTTAGGAACCTAGGGGCCTCCCAAGACACAGACCCTCATCCTTTGTCAGCATGGCAGGTTCTCTCCTCCCACAGGTAAAAGGTGAGTGCCTCCTCCAACCCCTGTCCACCGGTATTTTTATCTCCAGCTCTGAGTGTCCTTGTCCTTGGACAAGGCTTGACATTCCATGCCCTTCATACTTTCTCCATTTAATCTCTCTCCAGAAGGAGCAAAGGCAGAACCTAGGTCGGGCCCCAGGGGTTAGGAGAAAACACTCAGTGCAGGAATGCTGGGCTTAGGGGAGCAACTTGGGGTGGTGGGAAGGTGGACATTACCTGTTACTAACAGCTGTGGCTGGCTGGCATTTCCACAGGCTGCCCACCTTTCTGAGCACATTATCCCGTTAAATCACTGAATCCCACCAAAACTGAGATGGGATATTTGTTCTCTCCATTGTAAAGGTGAGAAAATAGAGGCACAGAGGGGCCAAGTGACTTGCTCAAGGTCATAGAGCAACAGTCGATAAGGGAGCAACTGGCCTGAGCAGCTAGAAGCTGTGTCCTGGGAGTGGAGGCAGGAGTCTTATTCCCTCTTATTCCACATCCTTCTGGGTATGAGGGAGGTCTGCACAAGGAACCTGGTAGGAGGGGGTGTTGGCTACTATCTTGGGAAAAAAAAATCAACATGGATCTTTCCTTCTGCCTGGAATGTTCTTCCTCAGAGCCTCCTCCTGGTGGCATTCCCAGGCCACCATCCCACTCTTCTCTACATCCCAGTCACTGCCACTGGCTGGTGATGTCCTCCTCGCTGTGTGTTTACTGTCTGCTCTCACTGAGAGCGCAGACCTGGCCTACCTTGTTCCCTAGTGTGACCCCAGGACCCAGCACAGCACTCATGGACGCTGGGTCGGCACCTGACAAATACTTGCCGATATGTAGAAATTAAACCCCTTCCTAAATCTCCAAAGGGTCCGTCAAGAAATCACAAGGGAAATTTGAAAATGCTTTTTGCAGTGAAAGAAAACAAAACCACAACACACCAAAGCTGAAGAAATGCAGCCAAAGCAGTGCCCAGAGGGACAGGACCGCCGCGAGCGCCCGAGCTGATGAAGCTCTGTGGAGCGAGCAGGTGCAGGACAAGCTGACTGCTCCCCAGGGAGCAGACAGCAGGCTCTGGGAACAGTGCTGTGGCACAGAGGGCAAGGTGGGCAGGTGCGGGGGGTGGTTAGTGGGGAGAGAACGGTCAGTCTCAAGATGACTTCCAGTGGGAAATAAGATACTTCCTCTTTCTGAGGACTCAGTGAGCTTCACATTGTCTCTCTGAGGGGAAATGTGTCACAGAAGGGCTTTATGCAGAGAGGCATAGTGGGGAGAGAGGTCCCACAGTGAAAGCTGTGACCGCTCACATCTACATTGGCCCAGTTTGATGTGTACCATGTCCTTAGTGCCTCACAACAGTCTCGCCATTCTTGGTCCCATCTGCTAAGTGGGGAACTGAGGAGCTGAGTTATTCCCCCAAGGTCACATAGCCAGTAAGAGGGAAGCCAGGTTCTTGATTCTAGTTCTTTCTGATGTCAGGACCTGTGAGCTATTCAGCTGCAACACAGCGCTCATGATGAAATTCCAGCCTGTTGTTATCTAACAGTGATGCACAGAGGCACGGAGCCCTGGGTAAGAGCCTCCCACCAGCCAAGCACTCTTCTAAACCCTCCTCCCAAACACCCTATGAGACAAGTTAAATTAATTTGGTGGTTTTTTCCTTCTGGTACTGGGAAATGAACCCGGGGGACTCTACCAACGAGCTGCATCCCCAGCCTCCCCCACCACTTCCACTTTTAAATTTTGAGACAGAGTCTAAATTGCCCGGGCTGGCCCAGAATTTGGGACCTACTGCCTCATCATCCAGGGTTGCTGGGATTACAGGTGTGCACCTCCATGCCCAGATGGTTACACATATTGACTCTGAAATACAAAGGAAGTAACTAAGAAAGTAACCAAGAGGTAAATTAGTCTCCCAACATCACACAGCAGGTGTGACTCCCTACATATGCCTTCAGTATTTTACCTTCTGAGACAACGGTGGAGCCCCCATTCCATTGTATACTGGAGACATGATCTGCTTCACCCACCTCCCTGCCACCTAATCTCAATCTCTTGGGTGGACTCAATCCATGGTAAGCCACTGACATTTGTTAACTCTATTGTTTGTTGACTCATGTGACTTGTCTCAACTTCACAACAAACTCATAAACATTACTATTCCCATTTAAAGATAGGACTAGAGTCAAACCATGATCTTCTTCTAATCAAAACCCTACAGTGACTCTACTCAGAGCACAACTGAGACCTTAGGATGACCTCCACCTCCCCCACAGGCCCCCACAGACACCAGTGTGTCCACTCCACCCATGCCCAGGGCTGCTGCCTTGCCCAAAGTGCTCTAACTCCTTCTCTCACCTCCTTCCTGTCTGCTCCACTTTGTCTTCTCAAACTGGCTCTTGGTGACCACTGTAGCCCACGGCCAGGCCCACATCCCCACTGCTTCATCTCCCTCCATCACCATCACCTAATGCTCCACACGTTCTGCCAGCCTGTCTTGTTTTGCTGGTCTCCCTCTCCAGAGAGAGTGGTTTTTGTTTTGTTTTGGTTTTTTTTCAATATTTTGTTGTTGTTTTCAGTACTGGGAATTGAACCCAGGGCCTTGCGCATGTAAGGAAACTGCTCTAACCGCCTGTTACAACCCTAGCCCTTTTAAAAAAACGTTTTTTGTATAGAGGCAGGATCTGGCTAAGTTGCTCACATGGTCTCAAACTAAAATCCTCCTGCCTCAGCCTTCCAAGTAGCTGGGATCATAAGCTGGTGCCACTGAAGAGGCGGAGGAAAAAAAACAACGGGGGTGGCAGATACTGGAAAATGAACCCTGGGGTGCTTTACAACTGAACTACAACCCCAGTCCTTTTTAATTTTTGACACAGGTTCTCACCAAGTTGCTTAGAACCTTGCTAAGTTGCTGAGGCTGGCCTTGAACTTGCAATCCTCCTGCTTCACCCTCCTAAGTCACTGAGATAATAGGCACCAAACCCAGCTCAGAAGCAATGTTTACATTTTGTTCACTACTCTGTTCTCAGGACCAACAAGAGTGCCTGGCTTGATAAGTACTCATTGATTAAATTAATGAAGGAGGGGAAGAGAGAAAGTGATTGAAGAGAGAAAGTGCTTTAAGTTATGAGCCCTAGTAGCCCCTCTTAATCATTTGCTCCTGGGGAGAGGGTGTTAAAAGCAGCCCTGTGGTGGGCTACAATTGTCCAGAGGAGTGGGATTTACACCCAAATCTAACTTTTTGTCCTATGGTTTACTGGAGAGTGAGGGAATCTTGGGTGAGGTCTTCCTAAAACCCCAGCCCTATAACTCTGTCTCCTTAGCCCACTATATGACTTTGTATTTCTATGGATTTTGATTTTTAGTTGTCTGCCCTCTTGACAGCATATCCAGTCCACATGGACTGGGATTTTCGCCTGTTTTGTTCTTGTGGCATTTCTAGGGTGAAGTGGGCACTCATAAAATAGCTGCAAGTGTGTGTGTGAACAAATGAATGATGTGCCTTCCGGGCTTGGGCCAGAAGAGGTGTCCTAGGCTCTCTGCCATCAGCCTTCCCTGCAACACTCTTCCCTTCAATTTTCATGCTCCACCCTCACTAGCCTCCTCCACTGCTCCTCTACTCACCATGGTCACAGTGCCCTGTCCCCCCTGGCTGTTTACCAAGATCTTTGCCTTGCTAAATTACCTCTCATGATTCAGGTTTCACTTCCGAAGAGGCTCACCAGCCTCCTGGAGAGCCACCATTATACTGCTTATTGTTTTTTTTGTTTCTGATCTGCCTTAATTAAACTTTAAAACTTCATAAGATGAAAAACTGTCTGCACCTCTCTCCTTCCCAACTATATGCCCTGGACCTGGAAGAGTGAATAGTCACTCCATGAACAACAAATGTCTACAGAAAGAGGTGTGTTGCACCCTGGTGGAGCCAGGGAACCTTCCCTAGGAAGTCCAGGGAAGTGTCATGCAAGCTGGCTGCAAGTGACTACAGAACTGGCTAAGGCTAGGGGAAGGAGAGCATTCTAAGAACGTCCCACTGCCGTGCTCTGTTCTAGAGCAGAAGTACTGAAGGCAGAGGAGGCCAGGATGAATGCAGGAGCAGAGTCTGGTGCTAAGCAGACAGGTTTTTCTGCTGGGGGCCTGGGAGGGGGGTGGCAGGAGGGAAGATGTGGGTATTAAAGGAGAACGCTAGAGGGAGCTGTTCGTTGAGGGGTGTGTTTGAAAGGGGTATTCTTGAGCGGAATTAAGGAGGGGTTACATGGGTAAATAGCATTTTGATCCGAATAGAAAACATTTTTACGACAAAAGGGGCTCTGGGAGTGGAATGTATGTAATCATCGTTAGTGGGGGACAGTTATGTCGCAAAGCACGAATGCAGCCCTCTTCGGAGGCAGTCCTTTAGGGTTCACGAGCCACTGCACTAGAAGAGGAGCAATGCTGGTGGCATCGGGGGACTGCCCTGCAAAAGAAGCAATGACGGTGAACTCTGTGAAAGAGATCCTAGAGAAAGCATTGGTGGGGGGCCTGGCAGGTGAGGGGACCGTCACGAATGAAGGCGCTCTGGCAGCCGTCCGAGCAGGGGGCGTTCATGCGGGACACATCTGGAGCGGCCTTTTGGAGAGCAGTGTGTGTGGGGGGGCCCTGGCTAGCGCCCGGCACAGAAGCACTGACGTTCTGGGGGGGCGTCCTGAGGACCGCTGCAGTCCAGGGCGGAGCCCCCCGCCCCCGCCGCCCGGGCCCCCGGGCCGCGCGCCCGTCACTCACCGGCGCCGGGGTCTCCGCCGGGAGGAGGCCGAGAAGGCGGAGGAGGCTCCGCCGCTCCGGGGAGACCCGAGGGCCCTACCGGAAGTGCCGCCCCCTCCCCCTCCCCGGCAGCCCCGCGCCGCCCGCCCGGAAGCGGAAGTCGCGCCCGTTCCCGAGGCGCCGGCGTGGAGGACGGAAGGAGGCGGTAGCGGCGGCGGCGGCGGCGCGGGGAGGGGCAACGCGCCTGCGCACTATCGCGGGGATAAGGGCGGGGAAGGCCTAGGCGGCTTCCGGTGGGTCAGCGGAGTCAGGTGCGCCTGCGCTATGTGTGCCCGCTTCTTCCTCCGGCACCGCCCACGTGCTGCGGACATCCGGTTAAAGCACACCCTGAGCTCCGGTCCCACGCTTGGGCCACGCCCCCGGACTTTGAGCCACGCCTACCTTGTTGCAATCTTTATAGGCTCCGCCCTCGCCCCAACCCTGTACCTTTCGCCCCACCTCCACCAAGTTTCTCCGTCTTTCCTCTCTCCAAGACTCTATGCTCTGGAGCTCCAGCCTCCCTCCCAAGCCCTGCCACGCCCCTTCGAAGCCCTGACCGGAGGGGGGGGCTCTTAAACTGTGTCTGCCCCTTGGATTTAAGCTCTGTCCTTCTTCCCACAGCTGCGCGACCCTCATAACTTGTGTGTATGGTTATGCCTCACACTTAAAGCATCTCCTTGAACCAGTGGTTCTTGAGTAGCAAGGATCCGTCTCCAGCTCCTTGCCCCAAACCTCTCAGTAGAAGAGACCTATGTGGTGGGGCCTAGCGTCTGTGTTTGAAAATACCCTTCAGGAGGGTCTCTTGAGCTCAACCACAGCTTTACCACACTTGACACTGCTCCCCTCACATAACTCCATAAACCTCCCAACTCAGCCCTACCTCAAGTAGGGAAACCCAGATCTATTTAGATCCCCCTCTCTCAGGTACCTCCTTCTCCTTAGTCATGTCCACCCCCCAGCACTTTCTAACAGTTAAGTCATACTTCTAATACTTTGTCTTTCAAAAGCTCTCTTTCTAGTCCCATCCCTCAGGTAAACTCTCGCCCATTCTCTGGAAGTCATTCTCTCTCTTCTGGCCAACCTTAACCTCTTTAAACCATCCCCAGCCTTTGCACCTTCTAAGACCCACCCTAATGCCCCCTAACTGCCCAATAAGGCTTGCACTTCGGCCAAGCCCCCCCCCCCTTTCTTTTGATAAACCCTACCGAAATTCAGTCCTCTTATCTTCAAGTTTTGTGTTTTTTGTTTTTTTTTTTCCTTTTTAGTGCTGGAGGTTGAACCCAGGGGCTTGCATATATGCAAGGCACACAGTCTCCGACTGAGTTCTATCCCAGCCTTCAACTCAGTGTTTCATTGCAAACTGTGGGTCCACCGAGGCAGGACCTACATGTCAGGAATTTGGCAAGGATGAGGGGAGCCTAGAGTCACATTTGCATAGAAGATCACTGTTTTACTTAGTCTGGCTTTTTATTGGTAGTACTTTGGGGTCCGGTGGAAATGGGAGAGGAGCAAAGGCTTCTTCTGAGCCATTCTTTGGCGCCATGCTAGCGAGGCACGTGACGTGGGGTTATTTGGAATCCCACGCACTTCTGTCAGGGCGGTGCAGCCGCTGAACACTGCAACGGAGAAGAGGCATCATCATGGAACACACACAGGAAGCCAGTAGGCAGGGATTTATTGCCACAGCCCCTGCCTCCAGGGGCCTGTTAGTCCGTAGGAAGGTGCCACAAGGCAGCAGGACCTGGAGGTGTAGGTCCCTAGCCTCGACCCCCTCCCAAGACAGGAAGACCACCAGAAGCGAGGGTGTCCTGGCCCACTTGCCTGGGCCCGGTGCCAGCTGAGCTCCTGGCTGTAAGCCAGGACCGGGAAGCAGAGGCCGAGGGTGCAGGACAGGCGGGCTCCTTCCCCTCAGGCCCCTCCTCGCACACCCCAGCTGTGGCCGGGATGCCTTCTTCTTCGTCCCACGGCGTCTCGGGCCTTGGGTCAGGGGGACACAGGGGCATTCCCAAGGCCTCTGGGTGCTTGCGTTTGGAATGGCGCCGCAGGGTGTTGGCCTCGGTGAAGCGCAGCCAGCACACTGGGCACTGGTATGGGCGCTCACCGGAGTGCACGCGGTGGTGATGTGCCAGCTCGCCTGCCTCGCGGAAGCGGCGCGGGCACAGCTGGCAGCAGAAGGGCCGCAGGCCTGCATGGATGTTGCAGTGCCGCCGCAGGTGGCTGGACCGCTTGAAGGTCTTGCCGCAATCCTTGCACTCATGCGGCTTCAGCTCCGAGTGTGAGATGCTGTGGCGCTCCAGGTCGGAGAGGTAGGGGAAGGCGCGCAGGCACACAGGGCAGAAGTGCGGGGCCCTTCTGGAGACAGAGCCCTGGGGCCCACCTGCAGCCGACCTTTCTGAGACTGTATAGGGTACACCCTGATCATCGATCAACAGGAGGTCGCTGCCACCACCACTGCCCACCTGTGAGGTCAGCTCCTGCGCCAGCGGGGGCTCTTGCCCTGACTTGGGGGGGCGGCCCCGCTTGCGAGGGAAGGAGGCCTTGAGGGTCCGATTTGAGGAGGCGGCTCCCCCGGGAGGTCTGCCTCTGCGGCCCCGGGGAACGGGAGGAAGTAAGGCCAGAGGTTTCTCTTCCTCCCCAGTCAAAGTCGAAGGCAACGGGTCTGGGCTGGGGGTGTCCATTGAGCAGTGAGGGGCTTGGGTCTGGGCACTGGAGCCGGCTAAGAGGAGAGAGGGGCAGCGTCAGTGTGGGGAGGGTCTCCAGCACCCCGTGTACCCCAACATGTCACCCAACCCTGGCTCCAAGTCTCTTGACCTGAATATGATTGACCTCACCCAGACAATTATAGCCATGCTGGTGGGTAAAACAATAAGATAATTTAGTACTGGTTCATAAACGGGCACTGCCCTGATTTCCACAAATGTCCCCCATGCCCCACAATCTGTTCCCTTGACCAGGGAATTCAAGATCAACATTAGCTAAATAAAGAAAAATAAGGGTTCAACTGAGAGTGCAAGCCTCAAAATAGCCCATCAAATTCCAGAGCCATAGAGGTTTCAGAGATTTCCTTCCTGATTAGCAGAAGAAGGGAATGGTTCAGGACTAGAAGAAAGGAATCAGTCCTAGGTGAAGTTTGACCCTAATTCGTGCAAGAGGAAATATATCCACATTGCTAAGTTTGGCCTCTGGAGTCAGATATCCCAAGTTCAAATTCAGAGTCTGTCACTTCCTCTCTGTGGCCTTGGGCAAGGTGTTCACTTCTCCCAGCTCAATTAAGTCTTTCACAAAATGGGATTCTGTTCTACTTGCCCGCCCAGACATGCCATAGGACAATATTTTACACAGAAGAGCTCTCATTAGCATCATGCCCTCTTCATTAGCATCATGCCGCAGCTAAGTCTCACACCAACCTTCTGAATGAGGATGCACCTTCCCCATTTTGCAAATGGGGTAACTGAGATACAGGAAAGCCAAGTCAGCTAAGTTCCCTCTGATAGTTAGTGCAAGGCCAAGACTCCAATCCGGTGTTGCTGACCACAGTGGCTCAGGGAATGAGAAGAAATGGACCCAAGGAGATAGAGGACAGCATGAAGACTCTCAGACCCAGGTTTAAATCCAGCTCTACCCATAATAAGCAAGTGGTAGTACGTCTCTGAACCAGTTTCCTTCTCCGTAAAATGCTATATCTGGTTTGTGGGAAAGTAATAAGGAAGGGGCTTTAAAATGCCCCAACCTACTGGTGCACAGTGAAACGACAACCAACATCACCATCTTCCCGGAGCCAACTATAACCTGGGAGCATGGGATCGGGGTATAACTGGAGGGGTAGCACGAGTGCGCCGCGCCCCCGTTTAGACTTGTTTTTTTGTGGTGCTGGGGATGGAACCCAGGGCCTTGACTATGGTAAGCAAGTGCTCTACCAGCCGCAGCCCCCAACCCGCTTTAATGGACACACAGCGGCCTGAAATCCAAAGCGCGACAATCTCTCAACGACCATATGGTTCGCTCCCGTGGGGTAACCCGGACCGGGAGGTGGACCTCTGAAACACGGGAGGAGAGCACCTGGTCCCTCGACCCTCCCCCCACTCCCATTCCTTGCGGGCGCGCGCCCGTCGGACCGGAGCGGTGGAGCCCGCGCGCGGGGCGGGCCCTGCGGGGGCGGCGGCCAATGAGCGGCGCGGGGGCCGCAAGCAGCGAGAGCTGCCAGGAGGGGGTCTGCGCGCGCGAGCCCGGCGGCTCCGCGGGGCGCGAGGTCGGCGCGCGCAAGGGCGAGCGCGGGAGCAGGTGTTGGGCCGCGCTCCGGCGCGCTCCCGGCCACCTATCCCCCATCCCCCTCCCCCCTCCCGGGTCCCCCGCCTCCCGGGTACCTCATTTGCATGCCGCCTTGGGCTCGCGTGTGTGCACGCGCGCGGGGGGCGACGGGCCGGCGCGTGGGAAGGGGCGGGGGCGAGGGGGCCCTGCCCCTCGGCGGCGGCGGGGCGGGGACGGGGGCGCGCGGGCCCGGCCCCGCCCCTCGGAGCGGACGCCAGCGGCCCCTCCCCTCGCCGCCCGCGGGGAACAAAGGGTACTCGCTGGGTCCTAAGGACCGGTCACGTCCGTGCCGGCAGAGGCGCACAAGTCGCCGGATTTGCCCCAGTGGGAATGAGCCCATCACCACATCCCTGACCACATCAAAATGCCTTTCCTCCCAGAAAGCACCCAACCGGGTGATCCAATCAAAGATGGGTCGGAAAGATGAGAAGCGGGAAATGTCTACTTAGTGCCCGTAGCTAACATGGCGCCTGATTGCTTCAAGGCCCCATGGAGGATTAAATAGAAAAGATGGTGCCTGGTGTTTTCGATCTGTATTGCACTTGGCACAATTCAGTTTCTCTCTTCCTTCCAGATGCAACTCGGCATCCTGTAAAGAAGTAGTGCGAGACTGGGGAAAAGGAATCATAACTGTCTATGTTAGCACCAGTTAGCGTCATTGTAGACTGCAGGAATCCGCAGGCTGAGCTTATTGCCCTGACGCTATGCAGCGCCGGGGATGACCATAGGCCCCGCCCCGCTGCCCTCAACCAAGATGGCGCCGATATGGCTTCTCTAACTTTCAAGCCCAGGAAAGGGAAAGAAGGAGAAGGGCGGGGTGGAGTGGAAAGGGGGAGTCGAGGGGGCGGGAGAAGGGGGGGGGGAGAAGGGAGCCGAGGCGGAAGTTGAGGGGCCCCCCGGGTGGAAGTGACGCTACCCCCGCTGCCCAAAATGTCGGCGCCCAGAGGGAGGTGTAAGTAATTAAAGAGGAAAGCGGACTGATTTCCCTGGCCTCTCGAGGCCTCATCAAGCTTCCAGGACCTCCGCCCTGTTTGAGCGAGGTGGACCTGCTCGGTCCCGGCCCGCCTGACCTGCCCCCGCCCCGAGTGCCCGGGGCCGAACCTTCTAGGGCCAGGGGGAGGGGCACAAAGGGCCGTTTTTCGGGCCTGGGTCTCTGAGCCGACTGTGCTGGGGGGGCCGGTTCTGCTAGCCGTGGGGAGCACGAGGGGGCGGGGCCTAGTGGTGATGTGGGCGGAACAGGGACCGGAGGAGCCGAGGGGGCGGGGCTTGTTGTGGGTGGGGCTTCGTACATTTTAAGGGTCTGTGGATAGAAACTGGGAGGAGCTTAGGTAAGGGGTGGGGCTTTAATACTGTGGTGGGTGGGGCCTATATTGAAAGGCAGAGAAGGAACTCTGTTTAAGGCCTGCTGGGAAAATAGGGACCAGGAAGAGGGCTGGAGGAGCTTAGGGTAGAAGGGGTAGAGTTTGTCTGGGGTGGGGTTTGGTGCTGAGAGGGGGGCCCAGGTTTAGGTGTGTAATTTGGTGAGTTCCATAGAACTATCAAGTCTTTATAATAAAAGTGAAAGAATTTGGAGAGGATGGAGAGGGCTCAGTAGCCAACTAAGAAAGGGTGGAGGAAGTTATAGGAGTGGAGTGGGGATTGATCTTGGAAAGGATGGGGCCTATTTGAAGGAAAAAATGTATGGTATTGGAAGTCAGATCTTGTTAAAGTACAAAGATTGGAGAAGTCGGATGACTTGGAAAGCATGGGGGTGCTAAACTAAGAAAGTAGGAGGGCCCTTACAGATAGGGGTAGTCAACAGCACACTTGCTGAGTCTCGACTGTGCACTGGCTCACGTGAGCACAAGCATACTTGCCTGGCTGTGGCTTAGTGCCTGCTACCATTCCATGAGGTAGGTACTAGAATCTTTCCCTTCTTACAGAGGACCAGAGTTTTGACTGGTTTTATCTAGGTTGCACAGCTAGTTTTGGTCTTCCTGGAAGCATGACACTGGTGTGCTTAGCTGCAAATCCTTGTCCTCCTGTTCACTAAGCAGTCATCTTCAAAGAAGTGTAGGAGAGGCTTTTGGAGGGAAAGTGGCATGGCTAGGGATACGTGATGTTTAAGGAATAGAACTAGTGTCTCCAAAGGAGTGGTGGGACCTGCATCAGAGTGGGAGGGGTTTAGAGAGGATCCAGAGAGGCTTAACACGGTGACTTGAGTAGAAGTGACACGGTAGTGGTTATGAAGATTGGCAGATGAATGAAGAAGAGGGAGAAAGGTTTGTAAGAAGAATCTTAAGAACAGTGGGTGTGGTTAGTGTGGTGGGCGTGGCTTAGCAGTAGGAGGGTCTCCAAGGGGTCTGGTGTGGGACCTGTGAGCCTAAGGGGCCAACAGGGAGGTGATCCCTTCAACTGCTCTGTGTTTCCTCCCTACTCTAGAAAGCCCCCAGCCACCATTGTGCCACCTGTCACCATGGATGAAGCCCGGCTGCCGGCACCCCCGGCTCCTGCCCCTGCACCTGCTACAGCACAGGCAACACCTGCTGCAGCCCCCCGCGTCCCATTTCACTGCAGCGAATGTGGCAAGAGCTTCCGCTACCGTTCGGACCTGCGGCGTCACTTCGCTCGGCACACAGCTCTCAAGCCCCATGCGTGTCCACGCTGTGGCAAGGGCTTCAAGCACAGCTTCAACCTGGCCAACCACCTGCGCTCCCACACGGGGGAGCGGCCCTACCGCTGCTCTGCCTGTCCCAAGGGTTTCCGCGACTCCACAGGCCTGCTGCACCACCAGGTGAGTCTGCAGGCCCATACAGCCCGCACAGGGTTGAGAGGCAGCAGATCGAGGCCCGTGCACTTGTTTCCTCCCATAGAGAGTTTCTCCTTTCCTCCCTCCGCCCATCACACACACACAACATGCGAGTAAGTTGCCCCTCCCATGTGGCCCTCGCTCTGGCCCCTGCCAGGGCCTACCCTGTGCATCCCTTCCCTATCGTAAAATAGTGTTACCACATGTACATATAATTTCTTTATTTCACAACTACCAACTGAGGGCTTTGCCTGGGCCCAACACTGAGGTTGCCAGGATAAAATCAATTAAATATCAGCTTTCAGAGAATTTATGTTCCTTTGGAGAAGGACAGTGGCCAGGAAAGTGATAAGAAAGCAGTTCCACAGATAAGAATGTTCTGGGAAAGGAGAAGTGTCGGGAAGGATGTTTTTAATAAATAAGTAAAATCGACATGGGGAGTGCAGGAGGGGAGATGGAGAAAGGTCAGGGCAAGGCCATGTTTGAGCTGGACCTGAGTCTGAGAAGGAGTCCATGTGGGAACAGCATTCCAACAGGAGGGATGCCCGCACAGAGGCCCCAGGTGGGAAGAAGCTTGGTGTGTTCAAGGACTGATTGGAGACTGTGGTTGGGCAGGGTGGAGGCAGGCGGGGCAGACCCACATCCACCCGGAAAACCATGTCTGAGGGCCAGACACCCTGCTAGGGCCAGGCAGACCTGGTTGACAGTGGTCTTCCACATCCCCATCTCTGTCCCCTGGCATCTCTCTTGGTTCAGAACATCATGTCCTTGATGTTGGCCCCAACTCTAGTGGTGTCCCCTCCTCCTGTTTCCCTCTCTCATGTCCAGTGTTTTCATCCATCAAAGAGACCAAGTACCCACTGCTTACAGTCCTTAATGCTCAGGCAACAAGTCCCTCCACTCATGGACATCTGCCCACTCCCACCAGAAGGTCATGGTCCGATGGAACCCTTCAGTGAGCCCGACTCTAAGTCAGGTTCTTCAGGGAAAACACAGTCCCCCTTCAAAGCCCCCACATCCAACAGTCCAGGGAGGGGGACATTGATTGACACCAGGTTAGTAACCGTTAGACTGCTGCCAGAACGTTTCGGGGGGTGAGGAGAGCTGGTAAAGTGGGTTGGGCGGGGTCGAGGATGCTGCTTCTGAGAATGATACCTCTGCTCAACAGGCAGGAGAGGGCTGCCCAAGCCCAGGAAGTGCACGTGTTCATGGAAGCAGGATAGGCATTTCAGGAGCCGGATGTGTGGCCAGGGACAGTGTGGCCAGGGGGCCAGGGACAGCATGGTACCAGAGAAGGCTGCAGAGTCCACTGGTCCTGGGGCATCCAGTAAGCACAGGACCCTGGAACCACAGCAGTAAGCAGACTGATCTGGTTCCTCTTTCCTCTTTGCTTATGTGCTGGGGAGACAACAATACCCAGATGGGTTGTAGAAACTCAGAAGGGAGAGGATGGATGCCAGGAGGGAGCTGAGGGCAAGGGAGCTGACAGATACACTGACACTCTCCCCAGTAAGGGAGGAGCCTGTCATGGAAAAGAGCCTTCCAGGCAATGAAAACAACATGTGCAAAGGTCCTGAGGCCAGCACAAGCTTGTGTGTTAGAAAGGCAGGTGGACAGAGAATAAATCTAGCAAGAAGAGAGAGTTCCATGCACCCCATTGTACTGCAGACATCACCATGTCTGGAGCCAGAATGGCAGATCGGCACCACTTCTGGTTCTTCCTTTAGGTCCTTGCCCCTGGTAGACATTTCAATTACACCGAACTCTCATCAACCCTCACAGGCCTCAAGGCAAATATTACCAATCAGTAGGACTCTACTCTCAGAAAGCTCTTATCCATAAAGGTGAATGATGTTTCAGATTTCTGGTTTCTCCCTGTCTGCAGGCCGAGCTGAGCCTCAGAAAAACACATTTCTGGGAGAATCTGATTTCCTAAATCTGGAAGTGATTCCCTGGATCGATATTTGTTTTAAAAAAAAAATTAGGTGGGACTCTGAAAAGCAGCCAGATTTGGTTCAAATC